GGGGGGGGGGGGCAAAATGAAAATGCCTATTTCCCAACCAAGAATGCAGAGACCTTTTCCTAGGGAATGAGGAGGAATAAACACTGTCCCTCCAGGATGTCAGCAATTCAGGATCATTCACAATGGAAAGGGCCACAGGTTTTCAGAATTTAAAATAGTTTCCTTACCCAGTAGGACCAGGTTCCTGGACTTTTCTCGTATCTCCTCGAACCTGGCCCTTGGAGCAGGGACTGAGTGCCTCCACTCTTTGTGGGTAAAAGCTACAGTCACATTGTCGAAGGGCGTGGATCCCTGAAACAATAAGCACATTTCTTCTTGCCCAGTAACCGTAGGATATGTGGTAAAGAGGGAGGTGGGAGGTTGGTGACTCCGGGTCAGATGGCTAGCAGGCCTCGAAAGGGTCTTTGAAAGGATTCAGGGCTCTGGGTAGTTAGAGAAAAGCACTTATGTGCTTAACACTACTGGATATTGACATACAAATAAAATACAGTCTCCACATTTGTAATTCTGGTAGATTTTATGTATGACTAGACAGAAAATGTGCGTATATATGAACAGTAACTAGACAAAAAATAACAGCTGCTTGGGAATTAAGAGCCAATATAGAAAAAATTAGAATGTGAGTTTACGCAATGAACAATCAGGTGCAAATTAGCAAACAAATGTGAAAGCTTAATGTTTTCAGAACAATTAATAAATATGNTACGCAATGAACAATCAGGTGCAAATTAGCAAACAAATGTGAAAGCTTAACGTTTTCAGAACAATTAATATCNAAATGTGAAAGCTTAATGTTTTCAGAACAATTAATAAATATGCCTGTGAACTCAGATATCACACAGTACAGCAGGAGAGCCAGGCACATACCCAACATCTGTTATGTGTCAAAGACACAGACAGACCAGTTTATAATAGAAGAGGAATCCTTGGGTGGAGGGCAATCACCGAGCTGGCCTTGTAGAAGATTACTCGGAAGGAGCAAGAGGAGGATATCATCCAAGGTAGGGGAAGCACCATGAGCAAAGACATAAGAGGCAAGAAAGTCTATTTTCAGCTCAGAACAGGACCTCCATTCACCTACTTGGCCACCCAGAAACCTGAGTGTTATCCCTCCCTTTCCTGCAGTTCCCCACAAGTCAAGGGCCTAGTCATTCTTCTGCCTCAGTATCACCTATGTATGTCTTCTTTATTTTTCAGGTTTCTACAATAAACATGAATTCCTTTTGTAATTAACAACCAAAACCTCCTTAATATAATAGAAAAAGGCTGCCTCTCAGTCCATTTCCAACTTACGTGTGGCCCAGCCGTGAAGAGACCAGCTACCATTCCTTCCACGGCTGTGCTTTCCTCGTGGGAAAGGGTAGGGTCTGGAGGAGGTGGTTCTGGAGGGAGAGAAAGAAACCAATGAGGCATAAAGGTGTATAGCCCATCAAGCTAGAAGGGCTCACACCATTCTGAAGAGGTGGAGGTGTTCAAAGGACACTGAAAGTTTCGGGTCTTGGGCTGAATTTGCAGACCTGCAGTGGGATGTAAACTTCCCCGTTCGTTTCTTCTGCCTCTGAAACCCCATCAATTCAGTCACAGGTAGGGAGGCATTACAGTGAGACAGACTCAAGTATCCCAATCCACCACTTACCAGCTGTGTGCAGATCACAGAACCTCTCTAAAGCTCATTTTTCTCATCTGTAAAATGGAG